CCATATATATATATATATATATATATATATATATATATATAGTGGGTGATGTTACATTGACCACTTGATATAATCTGTCAGTCTCTCTGTTCTCATGGCCACCTTTAACCAGTTCTCAAAACAAATGAAACTTCTGGAAAGCTGCTCTCGTTTCTGTGGCATAGTTTTACAGTAGGATGTTGCATATCAAGTTTCTCTGTAACATTAATTACTTTGATTTAACAGTCTGAAGCTACTTTAAACAAACATCGCATTGCTTTAAAACAATCTGCTTCTCTTTGGCAGCTCTAAACTGACCAAATTCTGTACAAAATGTAATTAGCATGCTAAGAAAGTGTGTCTTGTGAAAGCTGAGACGTCATCCCTGACCAGTGAGCAGACATTAAACATTAACCTGCTCTATCTTCAGACTGGGTGACTCGTGTAGAAGCAGGTAACACTACAGATGACCTCTGGCATACGGCCAGAGAGGACTATAAGGAGGTATAAGTCAAGTTACCCTGGAGTTGAAAAAATTAAGCAATATGAATTTGTATCTAAACAGATCCGTCACCTGGTTTCCATATAGGTGGTACATTAACTCAAAATCAACATATGCTTCAAGAGCTGGATACTTTAAGAGCTTTAAATAAAAGCAGGGAATGTTATTCTGCAACTTGCTATCGAGCATATTATTGATCTCTGTAGCATGAAAGTGCCTGAGGACTCACTTTACAAACACTTATTCGTGAAACAATAAGCAGCAGGGATTACAGTCACAGTAAGGGTCACTATTACAACCCTTAGAAGAGCATAGGCCATATTTTGTTTTAAGTCACGTGTTTTGAAATCACAGGGCTAAAATGTTAAGGACTCTAAACCCAGTGGCCTAAAGCTTTTTATTTTTTGTTCTTTGTGGGTGTCACTTAGGGAAAAGTGAAATACTGACCGTGGAAGAGGCCAGTGTAAGAGCACTAATTTAACCAGACAACTGCTCGTACACACATGAATCTTTTTCCCTGTAGAGGATCATGCTCTGGCAAAACACTTCTGCTTTGTGCAATTGTGATTTTTTTTTTGTTGCCATTTCTGGATCTGTTTGTAATTGTTTTCTTGTACTGTACTTCTTAAAAAGTCAGAAAATACAAACAATGCAAAAATAAGTTCAAAATCAGTAGTTTTCATAAGTAATTAAAGATAAATAACTGTGGGAAAAAAATTTGAAAAACGGACTTGTTTTCAGAGAATATACCTAAATGTTGTAAATTACACAAAGTAATATATTTATTCATTTAAAAAAAAAAAAATTTTAATAAAGAATTTTAATGATCCTAATTATTTTTACTTGTTTAAGCATACATACAACAAAATCTATTGATGTTAAAGCTTAAAACAAGAAAAACTGAAATTCCAATGTGGTTAAAAAAAAGCATATTCTCTGAAAACAAGTAGATTTATCTTGCTTTAGCGAATGCCGAGATATTTTTACAAGGCAAAAATACAGATTCAGAGTTTGTTTGGTTTTTGGTCAAAAAAGGACTAAGTTCATAAGTTTTATCTTAAAGAAGGATTTTATGAACAATATTAGGGTTTAACAATTCAGTCAATAATAATATAATCTACCTACACATAACTTAAGAGTCAAAACATAACTTTAAATTTAAATATGCGGATACAATTCAGTACAAAAATAAAAGCAGTAAAATGTCTCAATACATAAAATTATTTTCAAACAGTTCAATGCTACAAACACAGTTACAGTTTTGTAACTGCAACACACATATATAAACATGAGAAACAACATTAGTTGGCCAAGTCTTCCTCTCCATTTATTAAAAGGCCATTTTCTGAGTCCACTCTGGGGTTCCAACATGTTAACTTTGCTGTAGTGTTGATCCTGAATATAGTGAAGGTCCTCCTTTACGACTGCAGTGGAACTTATTTAAGTGAGAGGCTTATTTCTATGTATTGATATGTTCAGCATTGCATTGCATGTACCGGTTATTTAAAGAAATAGGAGACTAAAAAGTGGCAAGATGTTCTGTGAGGTATACCTGTCAGATTTCTAGGTAAACTGCTGTAGTTTAGTCACCATTGTCATTCAAACATTCATGAAAGGTACCTTTGGTAAAACTGGATGGTCTTAATATTCTTCCAGTTGTCTTGAAGTTACACAAAACACTGGCTGAAAAAACATTCAGACATTTTCCATTTGTCCATGAGGAACCTCTTTAACATACAGGTCGGCTAAAGTTAGCAAGGTCACGGGTCCACATATAGACCATGTGTCACGTCGGCTAAGCATGGCTCGTGCATAGTCATCAGTACATGTGCAAATTATGACCTTTAATTAATAGCTCCCCGACAATATCAAGAACTTGTCTCCACGGATAGCGAGTTGCGAGGATATAGTCCACGTGATCTCCATGGCTATTATCAAAGACGGTTTGTTTTCCTGTATAATAAGGCATTTTAGAGAACTGCACAATTGAATCTGTGTATGAGGGACCAAATGCCCGACACCTTTTGTTGTTTGAACATCCCGCTTTGAGTCCAGCTGTACTTTAACTTTCCCGATCCGAGCCAACCAGCAGTCTGGAAAATGTGAAATCTTCCACAGTGTGCTGTTGTTGTTAAATGTTCTGCCTGCCAGGAGCGACGTGCTATGATTTATCTCCTTGAAGAACCTGAAAGCAGACAATATTACAGTAATCAGATAAACGCCCACAGAACATGAAAGGCGTCAAATAGCCATTCAAAAACAATCTGAGGCCACGGTTTCGGCACGGATAGTGATGGCCAAAAATTATAGTTAAAAAGTCTTTGCATATTTGCGGTTTAGAGATTTGGATATTCTTAGTGAAATTGCTATGGGTTTATCTCTTGCTGGTCTTGTCATGACGTAGCAGCGGGTCATCCAATGTGAAGTCAGATCTTTCCAGATGCTGACAAGCATTTGGGTCATGTTTTTTCATATAACACAGACCACAACACACTAGGGACACATGAAAGAAGTTGGGTATATTCTCTCGAGTGAAGGACTATCCCTGTCATTTCCAAAACAAGATTACTGTGGAATCTGACAGATGTGAGCTCCGAACCGAATACATATGTTGAATGATACTCGGCGTGCAGAACTTCATTACTCAAGTTTATTTAAATAGTCCGGTTTACTACGATGGTTTATGAAAAGTTACCTGAAATCATACAGTCGCCTCATGTTATTTACTTCTGTGGTTACCGAGCAAAACACAGGAAACTCAGTACAATAACACCAGCAGCACTTAAATTCAATTAACCCAGGCAACTCCAATAACTCAAGGGCTTGGATCCAGTCTCACAGAGTTATGAGAGCAAATACTCCTGGCATAACAGTTGAAGAAACTAAAGCTGAAGAAAACCAGACACCTAAATGGTGATTAATGTAGAATGCGAATCAAAAGCTCCTTACCTACCTGGTTGCGGGTTTTGTGAGATTTCTGCAGCCAGACCCGCCACTGATCATAGAGTTTGATACTCATACCGCTGCAACCATAGGCGTGTTTGCGCACCCAGCCAAAGAACTGCTTCAAATCCCGACGCAACGTGGAGTTCCGCTGCCCCACCTTCGAGTCACATGACCCTGTCAGCAGCCGCTCTGCGGGGTGAAAGACAAAAATCAACACGTGTCCATCCAGGGGAGACAAGCGCCCGTCGTACACGCATCAAGCTTATCACAGATACAGGCCGCAGTTTACACAGCCAACCAAACACAAGTTGGGATAAAAATAAATCCTTTTCCATTTTAAATAAACAGCAGGTTTCCGAGCTCCAGATGTGGGCTGCTCCAGAAGAGTTAATGTGCAGAGGAGTTAATCTGTTAATCTTCAGAAACAATCCTCTGAAAAAATATATCCAACACTCCCCCGTGGCTCTCTGGCAAGCCACAAAATGAGGAGATGTATGACTAAAGTAATGCGTTGCATCTGCTAGTTGGTGTCTGCTGGACTGAGCATCGTCTTGGAAATATGTATCTGATTATAGGATGGACTGCACGACACATTCAAAATGTGAAAATATGATGAAGGACAGCGAAGGCAACATCTCAATCCGAGTATCGCTGCTACCATTTAACTAGGGTCGCTGGTTATATTTATTTATTTTCTATGT